CCCCGCAGCCTGGGGGCCGCTGGCTGAAAGGCCCCGTCCCCGCAGCCCGGGGGCCGCTGGCTGAAAGGCCCCGCCCCCACAGCCTGGGGGCCGCTGGCTGAAAGGCCCCGCCTCCACAGCCTGGGGGCCGCTGGCTGAAAGGCCCCGTCCCCTTTAGTTTTCAGCTGCGTACGTGGAACGTCCAAGAGGTTCTGTGTCCGGGAGCGAAGGCCACGAGCAGCAGAGTGTTTGGTCAAAGCTGACAAAGACACACAGGAGCCATTTAAAGCTCTGAACGTCAGCACAAGAACTTTGAAACAGATTCTAAACTCGACTGGGAGCCAGTGCAGTGAACTGGGGTGAAGTGACAGGATTTGCTGGATTTGGTGAGAAGTCTGGCAGCTGCGTTCTGTATCGCTTGTAGACGTGAAACAGAAGACTTGTCCTGGCAGGTAAAAAGGGCATCGCAGTGGTCCAGACATGATGACACAGAAGCGTGAATAGTTTGTTCAGTGATGATGGAAAACTAACGGAGAATTTCTTATGACGCAGCTTTCATGCTAAAAGTGATCGATCAGCTGTTGAGGAGGAAACAGAGCTGCTGCCCGAACCTGCATCATGTCCATGTTCAGGACTGGAGACGCAAAAGCAGTCACGTCTGTTACGTTTTAATAAAAGTTTAAACATTTGTTCTGTGTGACTAGGCCTGGACGTTACGGCCAAAACTTTTATCACCATATATTTCTTAATTTCGATCGATAACGATATAATTCGATATCGATATAAACAATATAAAAGACTCAGAAAACCTGTACAAATAAATTAATGTTCACCTTTTATTTGTATTTAGCCTTCAAAGAAATTTGAAATCACCATCAAATAAATATCCTGATGCATGCTCAATAATCCAGGTAGAAAAATCTAAAAAAGTTAAATCTGGTCCTCTGTCCAGAGGACCAGATTTAACTTTTTTAGACCATCAAATAAACATAAAACTCTCAACTTTGTCAATATTAATAGTTTTAACTTTAAACAACATAACCTTTGTCTCTTGAAACAGCTGTGGGTGCTTCAGGGACACGTTGGCTCAAACCTTATCGAGCTTCATCTTCTGACTCTCAGCAGATTCTATCGAGTGGAACCAGCTCGATGTCCCACCACTAGTTGGAACGACCCTCCGTCACATTTTGCAGCGCACCGACTGAAACCTGCAGTTTATCGGATCTCAAACAGCCGAACCACGTCCACACCACTGAATCAGTCGTTCCTCTCTCATCAGTGATGTCATCTGTTTCCTCTTTGCTCGTTAAAGCTTGTTCAGTCACGTTCTGACGTCATGAGCACTCATTTTGAAGAGAAAACTTAACGTGCGTTGAGATTAGCCTAGCCTGCTACTGCCGACTCCTTCTGGACTCGAGCTCTGCGTAACATCTACGTCACCACGCACTTGTTGTGTCGCACCTTCTTCTGTCCGGGCTGAAACTGAAGCGGCCGCTTCAGTTTCAGCCCCGACAGAAGAAGAAATGCGTCAGTGAAACGCTGTAATCATATCGAAATATTGAAAATGTGCTTAAAACTCATACCAGCGTTATTGAATAAAAGTTTATCGCAACATATATCGATACTGAATTATTGTCCAGCCCTGTGTGTGACATCTTTCTGCGTTAGTAAATATGTGTTTAAATACCGGGATCTCATTTTAAACTCACATCCGAACACAAAGTGGAGAAAGGATCTTCCCCCTCCCCTTTCCGTCCATGAGAGCACAGCGGTGGAGAAGTCGTCAGATTTATTTTAAAGCAGTCAGTCAAGACTGGTGCATATTTAAACAAAAGTTTTAAAAAATCTTTCCGTGTACGGTAACTATGTGTTTAAATACCAGTATCTCATTTAAGCTTAAATGGGCATTAAAGATTGGAAGAGACAACGGGAGGGGAAAAAAAACGGAGCGTCTTATTTATGTATAAAATTATGATCTATCTTATATTTAATAAGTGCGGCTTACAGACATGTGCATTATAAAGCCTTATAATCACAGTATATATATATATATATATATATAAATATATATTTATTTGTGGATGCTCTGTTTATATATTAGACCCATCAGTGCATTGCTGTAGCAGTAGATAATGATATATTGCATTATGTATTATTACATTAACTAATGTGGTATATGTTGTGAGCTTCTTGGACATCTCTTACTTACAGTTTGCCTTTCTCATAAAGGTAGAGGATGCCTTCTTTAAAATTGTGCATCTGACAAAGGACCAGGGCCTTATCAAACACTGTGTTGTCTCTTCTCAGCAGTGACAAAGCTTCCTCTTGCAAGTTGTTCTTTCTCTGCCAAACATATGCATTAAAATTAATAAGCAAACAATTATCTTAAACACATTTTTGAAAGGTTTTTTTTTTACAATTCTTGGAATAAAATGAACATACTGTATGAAAATGAAAATATACCATCACTTTGAATTATTAGTATTTCGTACTGACCTCAAGGTTTTGCTCGTGTGCCCAGTCTTGCAGTCGGAGCTCAAGCAGTGTGTCGTACACACCCTGAGAAGAATGGGGGTCAACCTCGATCATGTGCTCCAGAAAGGCCTTCAGTTCTCGAGGGTTATTGGCAAAAATTGGAATGAATTCTTCAGAATTTGCCTTTACAAGAACAAATTGATGAAACATTTATGATAATATTTCCAAGCTCTATCTTCGTTTAACAATGAGTAAGAAAGTCGTCTTGAATAGCAAATAAAACTGACCTTATTCCTGTCCATACTGTATTTTTCAGCAGTTTCTTCACTGTGCTGGTAGTTGGTGCACAAGCCTTTCAGGAGCAACGTTGTACCTTCAGGAACATGGTGCATAAGTGTCTTACCATAACGTTTCATGTTGCTTTCAGCTTGCTCAAAAGGTAGACGTCCAATATATCGCAGCCCTTCCTCATAATTCTGGATTTTGGAGAGAAACAGGAAATGTGAATTACCGTACTCAGTTTATCCTCTCGATCTACTACATCGTACTTTATACTGCGTCTGTACCTACAATATGCAGTATATATAGAAACACACATGTATTCTCCAACTCTGCTGTGTGACTACCTCGACTGCTCTCTCAAAAACAATAAATGCTGAACATCAACCATTCTGCCATGGCCATTGTACACATTACACACATGTGGGACGAAGACATCTGGTCCATCATAAAAGCTTTGTGAGAAAGGTGCTTTTGATAAAGCTGTGTTCCTGGTATTACACTTTATCTATAAAAACAAAAGGCCCCCAACAGCAGGATGCCAGGAGCTATGGATGTTGTGGGGCTACCATGGTCGACAAGGATACCATACCATTTTATTCATAGAGCACTTAAAACAGCGACAAGGCCAACCAAAGTGCTGTACAGACAGAACAACAGGTAACACACAAAGCAAAATACAAAATGAAGTAAATCAGAATATAGACATAAAAACGATAATAACAGATAATAAATATGACGACTAACCAGTGTGGAGCGTACAGGATTAAAACACAGATCCTCTGGTGTTGAAAGCTACTGAATAGTAGTGAGTTTTTAAACGGGACTTGAAAACCGAGAGGGAGGGGCCTGTCTGACAAGCAGAGGTAACTCGTTCCAAAGTCTTGGTCCTGCTACAGAGAAGGCCCTGTCACCTCTGCACTTAAGACAAGTTCCTGGAACTGTGAGGAGCATGGAGAACAGAAACCGTTCCATTGGCAAACCAGGGTGATGTTCTCCATTATTAAAAAAGGGCAGCAGAGAGTTTGTTTGAACTATTGAGGCTTCACATTTCTGTGACGCTGTGATTTCTGTTGATGGAAATGAGGGTCCGACCGACTGTTGATCCTCTTGAACTTGTGAAACAGTGTACCAGATGTTTGCCCTTGTTAAGTTGCTGAGGGGGTCGTGGGAGTTTGTTCAGTCTCTGTGATTTGTGGATCTGGACAAAGCTTACAGCTATGTTCTTTGAGGTCTTCTGAGGGAATATGGGGGGCTGGGTCCACTTCTAAAGGCTTAAGCATTAGTTAGGTACTGTAACCCCAAATTCTAGCAGTACAGGCGCAGCCTTTTAAGGCCATTGCTTGTGGTTTACCCTTTGCTCACAGAGCAGCACTAAAAACTTGAGTCCCCCCTCAACTGCAGGATGGGCTCCACCATAGTCTGTATAAATTGTTCTGAGATAGCGTAATCAGCTTCCAAGTGTTTTGATTTCAGCAGTTTAAAAATCAATGAGGCCTGCATCATCTTAAAGGGGTGTGACTATACAGTAGTCCCTCGTTCATCACGGGGGATCCACCCCCGCTGATCAGTCCTGAACATTCGACCCTGCTGATCAGTCGGTCCATGAACATGCGCGCCATGTTGAATTGAATTGAAAATTCTGGGTAATATTTCTCGGTATATAATATAAAAAAAAATTTCATTTAAGTAGGTGTTTGCACTTTAATGTCCAGTGATTATGCTTACCGGTAGATATTTACCGGTATTTTGTTAATCTTGAAGGAATAATGTTTGTTACTATGAGTCTAATACTGAAGCTTCATGTATACAAAGGAACACCATTCAAGCTTTGTGCATGTTGAAAGCCATAGTCTGTGATTTTCATCAAGTGGCTGATTCTTGTACTAGAACAAGAACAGACTGAGTTGGGTATTCACTGTACAATGGATACCTGTGGCTTAACAGCGGGTGTGTCCTATTTATGCACAAAATTAGGATTATTCTTATATTTCATGTGTGTGGCTAATTTACGGTAAACTCATGGGTTAGACATAAAAACATACGTAAATCCAGAAAAACATTTGCTCTGCTCACTAAAACATCAAGAAAAGAACATTAAAAACATGGCATCAGAAAGTATTAATATTTAAAATAATTAATTAGACTATATTGTTAAATTAAGGACACGTAATATGTGTGAAAATTAAATTATTATTGTGACTTGAACTTGTGTTTTTTTCCCCTCAAAGCTAGATGAAGCTGCTGTAGCAGAATTTAGGTGAGGTTAAAGAAAACAGCCTTTTATTAAAAAGTACTATTTAAATATCCTGATGCATGTTCAGTTATTTATATATAATTTATTATCTATTTCAGTAACTGCTTAGGTCTGTCACGATAACAAATTTTGCTGGCCGATTAATTGTCTCTGAAATTTTTGCGATAAACGATAACATTGTTTGAAAATTGACGATAATTAGTAATTATCGTGAAATTAAGAAGAAATGATGGGCTGTCTCTCTTCAGGTCTCAGAACGGTGGACGCATGTGCGGTTTGAGCTCTTTAGCATTTTTCACACAAAGCTTTAAAAATTAAAAAAAATCAGTAAACGAGTTCTCCGCTTCTTTTTGCAGGGAAAAACATTTTACGCGAAGGCACGAGTTTCAACCGTGAATTTTGAAGCTTTGACAAGACGGAGGTGTTTTCCCGAGGTCGGCCTGTTAGCTTAGCTTGTAGCTTAGCTTCTCAGCTTAGCTGCTTTTAACAATCCAAAAATGTGATTTTGGACGGTTATAACAGATTTTAAAGAGAAAAGAGAAAGGGAGGGGTCATTGAAGAGCACCGGGGTTGAGCCTTTTGTCCTCCAGTGTCTTCAGTAAAAGAGAGACACATGAAGAAACGATAAAGCCGATAAATGAAAACGAGGTCGATCATTTTCATTGTTTATTGCAACAGGCCTAGTAATGCCACTTTGACTGTTGATATGTGCTGCTGACTATCCATGCTGCTGATCTTATGCTGCTGATTTGTTTCATGCTGCTGTGTTCATTCGTACTCATGTGCTCACACAGACTCATGTTTGTGCTGCTGTTGTTCGGCATATTGTTTTTGTACTACTAGTGCTTAGTGTATTCTGAGATAGCGTATTTCTTAATTCATATCTTACAGTATTTCTTTACAATTTATATATATATATATTATATATATATAATTCCTTCAATAGAGAACTTTACCAATTGGCTTTTCTATGTATGTGAATGTTCCTGTAAAATGCCCTGAGACAACTTTGTTGTGATTTGGCGCTATATAAATAAACTGAATTGAATTGATACTATTGTTGGATGTAACTGGAACCCTGTGTACACAATTTTGTTCCACCACATGTGGTGCAAATGACAAATAAATAAACCTTGACCGTGAGATATGACGTTTAAATTTGGTATTGTAGGAGTTTGGCATGGTTTCAACCAGTGCTTCGTTTTGTAAACCAAATGGTGCCAAAACACATTTTAATGTGTGTTTTAACATCTATGTTTAACTACATAAGTAAACATTTGATTCAATAACTATTTTAGAGAGCAACAAGGAGTCTGACCAACAGCTCTCCTTGTGTGAATAAAGCACGCTCTGCTTCTCTCAAGCATCCTCCACTTGCTCCAGTAACTCCATTACCACTGGCTTCAAGTGCTTCAATTCTTGGTTATTTACTTGTACAATGAGAATACTTTTTTATGAAAGTAAACTGGACTGTCTTTTCGCCATTTTGATCGCTGCTATTTTGACAAACTGGCACAGTTGTTTTGATGCGTGATGTATGTAACGTGATTACCCATCAAACATTTCGCTCGTATTTTTAATAAATCTAAATTTTATTAATGACCCACTTAAACTGTAAAACTGTTTTGCAATTTAGTTGTACTGTTTAATTATATTTTTGTGTTGTTAATTAAATTGCCCATGACTGAACTTTTATGGGCTGAGATGTTTTTTAAGGGTAGAGGCAGAAATGTTTACTTGAAGGAGCAGCTCTGATGTGATATTAAGAAGCTCGTAAGTGGCTGTTGTGTTTAAAATGAGTGTTTATGTCATTATTTTCAGTTTACATAAACAATATAGGTTTTATTTGTTCAAGGCAGTCAAGTTAGTTCATAACTTTATTAGTAAGCCTGAGAGTTACTGGATCCAAGCAAACAGTTACTGGAACACACCGTGTCAAAATAAGAAGTTCCCGGATCCTGTTCTGGCAGGATCCAGCTCAAATTAAGCCCTGGTTTCAACACATGCTTTGAGCACAACATATTTTCCTTAAAACTGGTATAAACAGTTAGAAACAATCCTGATCGTCTGTTAGTAAAATGTCTCAAACTACTTGATAGATTTCAATGAAACACTCAGAAAGTAACTGCACATGAAAAGCTGAACAACTTTTGGAGTCAACTCTTTTCAAAATGGCTGCTGTAGCTAAGCGGTGTTTTTCACAGATTAAGTATTAATGTTTGGTGAGGTTGTTACAGACATTGACAAGAAGCACCAACAGATCGTGGTACAATACAACATAAGACTGTGCATATTTTCAAGGTTTGATCAAAACGACTAACAATGTCATTTCTCAACAAAAATAATTTGAGCTTAAACTTGTGTCATGTGCTACACATTCCTTCAAGGAGGCCTTCAATCCAAGAACTTTCAGAACATTCACTGACTATGTTCAACAAATATCCTTCGTTCCAACAGATCATGTCAATATATTTTATTAAAAGAATGTCGAACATTTCTGTGCAAACATTTACCTTGAGGTCTTCTAGCTGGATCTTCAAGTACCACTCATGGTTCTTGTGTCGTTCAGCCAGGAACACAGAGTGTCTGTGGTAGCCAGCCTGACGAAGAACCTTAATGGCGATCTCAACATCGAAGTGCACTTCACTCTCACTGCTCTGTGGTGCAGGAAAAGACAAACACAGAATTCAATTATCACTTTAAACTGTTCTGATCTAAAACCACCCGTTGTCATAAAAAACCTGTCAAAATGTATTTCTCTACGTCTTTATCGTCATTTCTGAAGAACAGTGCTTGTTGTAAGAGGTGACCTTAATGAACTCCTGCAGCTTGGAGCTGTCCTTCAGCTTGGTGTAACAGTTGAGCAGCAGTGTGGTGTGGTCTGCGTTGGCCAGGGACTGCCTGTGAAGGGCTTGCAGATAGGCAGTCAGGTTGTGAATTCTTTGGGCATCCAGGAACTTCCTGATAACATATGAAGGCTCCAGCTTCCCAATGGTGCTGTGAGAACAGGGAAGACTTGTTCAAGGAGTGGTGTCACTCAGAGAAAGACTCAAGGAAGTGGCCAACGGCACAGTGTGAGGCGTAAATCCATACCGTTACCATGACACGCTCCAATACCAAACTACTAAGCTGCAGCAGCAGCTGTGTCGTTCAGGACGTCTGAAGACCACAGGTTGCTCAAACCATCCAGTGACTCTGGATACTACCGTAGTATCGTTTGCAGTTAGAGGTGGAAAGTAGTGAAGTACAGCAAAGTATTTACTGTATGACAGTAACCCAGTATGGATTGTGTACTTTGTACTTTTACATTTTACTTCAAATGTTGTACTTCAGTTACAGACTGGGTCTGCTCCTCACTCAGACTGAGTACAGTTCAGTTAGAAGTGATGACGAGCTAGAAACCATGAACCACCAAAGACTAGCTAACATAGAGAAATCAACTCCTGGTCATGGCAAAGAGACACTGTCCCTACGTTCAAAGACAGAAGCTGCTTCATGCTGTGTTAGCTGTGTTAGCTGTTAGCTGCAGCTTGTTGTAAGGTGAAGGCTTTCACACTTTAATGATACGCTTTGTGAACAACAGTTAAACATCAGAGCCTGACTGCTGCTTGTTAGCTCTGTAGCAGCTCTGTGTTAACTTGTTAATAATTAAGATATCATAAACCATCATTAACTCCCACTCGCATCTGAAAACATGTCAGAGAATAAATAAATGGACCTGATCTAATACAACCTGCTCAAAAAAAAACCCTAAAATTACTGAGGAAATACAAGAATAATGTAATATTTTGATGACTGTAATCTCTGTCTGCTCATCTTAGTAGAGCAGCGTTGTTCACACATCAGATGATTTTTCACCGTGTTGAGGCCCAGAGGAGGAAACTTGAAGAACGCTCTTATTTTTATAGGAGACCACATTTATGCGACCCAAACATCAGATGGAGAGATGATGAGTCTTAACCTGATCATATTAATCAGCAGGAACTGATCACTGACCCAATGACAGAGACTGCTTTACAATATAGCTGTTTTTGTTTCGTTATTTTAATATATTTTTCTTCCAGTTATTTTTCAATTGATATGTTTTTTTTTATTATTGTCTACTGTTGTCATCTATGTTCTTTGTTTAAAATAGGTCTCTCTTCTAAATGAGTCCTTGAGGCTCAATGGGACTAACCTGGATACAGACAGGTGCAGGTCATAAAAGTAGAATATCGTGAAAAAGTTGATTTATTTCAGTAATTCCATTCAAAAAGTGAAACTTGTATATTATATTCATTCACTACACACAGACTGATATATTTCAAATATTTCTTTCTTTTAATGTTGATGATTAGAACTGACAACTAATGAAAACCCCAAATTCAGTCTCTCAGAAAATTAGAATATTGTGAAAAGGTTCAATATTGAAGACACCTGGTGCCACACTCTGATCAGATAATTAACTCAAAACACTTACAAAGACCTTTAAATGGTCTCAGTCTAGTTCTGTAGCTACACAATCATGGGGAAGACTGCTGACTTGACAGTTGTCCAAAAGACGACCACTGACACCTTGCACAAGGAGGGCAAGACACATGAGGTCATTGCTAAAGAGGCTGGCTGTTCATAGAGCTCTGTGTCCAAGCAGATTATTAGAGAGGTGAAGGGAAAGAAAAGATGTGGTAGAAAAAAATGTACAAGCAACAGGGATAACTGCACCCTGGAGAGGATGGTGAAACAAAACCCATTCCAAAATGTGGGGGAGATTCACAAAGCGTGGACTGCAGCTGGAGCCAGTGCTTCAAGAACCACCATGCACAGACGTATGCAAGACATGGGTGTAGCTGTCGCATTCTTTGTGTCAAGACACTCTTGAACAGGTGCAGAGAGAATAACCTTCACATCAATGTGAAGAAGACAAAGGAGATGATTGTGGACTTCAGAAGGAACAAAAACACCTACAGCCCCCTGAACATAAGAGGATCTGCGGTGGAAGTGGTCTCCAGCTACAAGTACTTGGGTGTACACATGAATGACAACCTCAGCTGAAGCAACAACACCACCAGCCTGATCAAGAAAGCTCATCAGAGACTCTACTTCCTCAGACGGCTGAGGCGAGCTGGTCTGGGAAGCTCAGTCCTCACCTCCTTCTACAGGTGTGCAGTGGAGAGCATCCTGTGCTCCAGCATCAACGTGTGGCATGGAGGCTACACAGCTGCAGAAAGAAAAGCTTTGCAGAGAGTGGTGAAGGCTGCACAGAAGATGTTGGAATCAGTCTCCCCACCATCACAGACATCTACACCTCCAGATGCAGGAAGAGGGCCACCTGCATCATGAAGGACCCCACCCACCCAGCACACACACTTTTTGCCCCACTCCCCTCAGGAAGGAGGTTAAGGAGCATTAAGTGTAGAACCACTAGACTGAGGAACAGCTTCTACCCTGAGGCTGTTAGACTCATGAATCTCTAACTAGAATAATCACTGTGAAAAACCATATCATGTTGCTGCTGATCTGTTTCATGTTGCTGCTGATCTGTTTCAATGTTGATGTGTTCATGCGTGCACATCTGCTCACAGACTCATGTTCATGTTTGCGCTGATGTTCAATGTTTTATGTTATGAGTGCTTAGTGTATATTTAGTTGATGTTTTTCTTAGTTCATATCTTAGATGTTATTACTGTTTTTCTTATACATTTTATTGTCAGATGTAACTGGGACCCTGTGTACATAATTTCGCTCCACCACATGTACCACATGAGGTGCGAATGACAATAAAGAAACTCTGACTCTGACTCTGAACAACAGACAGCGTCAGAAGCGTCTCACCTGGGCTAAAGACACATAGGACTGGACTGCTGCTGAGTGTGTCAAAGTTATGTTCTCTGATGAAAGTAGATTCTGAATTTCCTTTGGAAATCAAAGTCCCAGAGTCTGGAGGAAGAGGAGAGACACAGAATCCATGTTGCTTGAGGTCCAGTGTCAAGTTTCAACAGTCATTGATGGTTTGGGGTGCAATGTCATCTGCTGGTATTGGTCCACTGTGTTTTCTGAGGTCCAAGATCAACGCAGCATCTACCAGGAAGTTTTAGAGACTTCATGTTTCCTGCTGCTGACCAACTTTATGGAGATAAAGATAGATGCAGATTTCATTTCCCAACAGGACTTGGCACCTACACACAGTGCCAAAGCTACCAGTACATGTTTTAAGGACCATGGTATCCCTGTTCTTAATTGGCCAGCAAACTCACCTGACCTTAACCCTAGAGGAAGATGTGACACACCAGAGCCAACAATTCAGAAGAGCTGAAGGCCACTGTCAGAACAACCTGGACTCTCATGACACCTGAGCAGAGACACAGACTGATCCACTCCATGACATGATGCATTGATGCAGTAATCCAGACAAAAGGAGCAACAACTAAGTATTGATGCTGAACATGTTCATACTTTTCAGTTGGACAACATTTCTAAAAATCTTTTTTTATTGGTCTTAAGTAATGTTCTAATTTTCTGAGATTCTGAATTTGGGGTTTTCATTAGTTGTCAGTTATAATCATCAACATTAAAAGAAATAAACATTTGAAATATATCAGTCTGTGTGTAATGAATGAATATAATCTACAAGTTTCACTTTTTGAATGGAATTACTGAAATAAATCAACTTTTTCATGATATTCTAATGTTATGAGCAGCACCTGTAAAGGTTGAACGAGAATAGGCAGCATCAGAGATCAGTCTGCTCCTGCTGGTCACAGGACTGGACCATACCATGTACTGGTCCACACCAAGATGGGCCCAGTGTATACAGTTCATTACATTTCCGAAACCTAAGCAGTCTGGAAAAATTTTCAAAGATGGATAAAGGTCGACAGATGATCTCATGAGCGGTTGAATACAACTGATAAACAGGAAGCACCACATGTACGTCTGTATGAAGGTCACTGAAAACAAATCCTCCACTTTCTGTCATGATTACATTGTATGCTTAATGGTTAAATTAAAGGTTAACAACCAAGAAAAGATGTTGTGTATCTGATTGGAGTTAAGTTATTGACTGAAACTGGCCCTTGGTTTGAAACAGGTTTCTAATTTTGTCCTTCTTTTGTAACTGAGTTCGACCCTGAACTAAATATACAACCAACTAAGTGCAGGTACGTTCAGTTATAGCTACAACGATTACAGCCCATGATCATTTTATCACGACAGTGGAAGCATGACAGATTTTGTGTGTTGCTGCCACCAACACTTGACCAGGTTTGCTGGATATGCAGAATACTCTTCTTGTGACTTCACAATATGCACCATTTGTTTATTAATGTAAATATTTCTATTTCTATATATATGTTTGGATGGATAACACAGCATGCAGCACGCACAAGGCGTTGACAATGTGTGGTTTTGGTATATAAAAAATATAGAAAAAGTGATGATAGTTGAGGCACCTAGAAAGATGGCAGGCAGAAATCTGGCCTAGCGCTGTTGTAGCCCATGTCAGCGATTTAATTCCAGTGAGGGGTGTCACTGAACACTGAAGAGCTCTGAAAGTTTTGCAAGCACAAGAGGAGCTTCACAGAAAATGACCTAAGTTAAAAACCAAATGAGGATAATTCTCCAGTGTTGAAACACCACAACAACAAAGACTTGTCAAACTAATGGGATAATTACCGTATGTACTGCTGGATGGCACCATCATGGTCCCCCTTCAAGTATAAATGATCTCCGTACTGTCGGAAGATCTCTGACAACCCATCACTGTCCAGGTGCTGGCTCTTAGCCAGATTTATGGCCATCACAAACAGGTTCTTCTTAAACAGCATCTTCAAAAAACAAAGAAGACTAGTTTATCAGACACACTGGTTCTCAGACTCTGTTGGATAAACTACATGCACGCACACACACACAAACAATAAAAATATATTTATACATTTTGTGTATATATAAATAATGAATGTACATATATATAGTTATATGTAGTATTTATATATGATATAAATATTATACTATGTCTATATAAAAGGTATTTATATATACACAAAATATATATAAATATATATAAAATATATATTTTGTGTATATATAGTTATATGTAGTAGATATATGATATACATACTATATTATGTCTATATAAAATTTTCCTGTGAAAAAATTTTAAAAATATGCATTTATATATTTTGTGTAAATAATTTTTTATATATAAATAAATTTTGTACAGTAGTCCCTCGCTACTTCGTGGTTTGTTTTTTGCGGACTCGCTCTATCGAGGTTTTTCAAAATAAGACTGGACATGACACACAATTGGCTGATTGATGGATGAGCTGAACGATTGGCATGAAATTTTCATGTAAAATAAATTATTTAAAATGATTTAGCCCCTGCTGCACCTTTGTGCAGCCCAGAGTTGCAGGTGCAGCGTGTCATATCTCCACTATGCAGCAGTGAAGTGGGCGTGGTCAAGAGCGATAGCGCTAGGTGGCAGAGAGCTGAAGTCACGACATTCTGCATCTTTAGCGCATTTAGAGTTTAGAAACATTGTTTAGAATATTGCAAGAGTGTGGGAAGGGTTTAAAACAACTTCATATATATATATATATATATATATATATATATATACACACACAGTAAAATAAACTACTACTTACTACTTGTACTACTTTTCTACTTCGCTGTTTTTCACTTATCATGGGACTTCAGGGTACGGATTCCCCTAGATGGATGGATAGGTGTGTGTGTGTGTGTATACATATACACACACACATATGTATATACACACACAAACACACATACATATATGTGTGTTTGTGTGTGTATATACATACACGTATATAAAATATATATGTATACACACACACATATTTATATATATATATATATATATATATATATATATATATATATATATATACAAACCGGATTCCAAAAAAGTTGGGACACTAAACAAATTGTGAGTAAAAACTGAATGCAATGATGTGGAGATGGCAAATATCAATATTTTATTCGTAATATAACATAGATGACAGATCAAAAGTTTAATCTGAGTAAATGTAACATTTTAAAGGAAAAATATGTTGATTCAAAATTTCACAGTGTCAACAAATCCCAAAAAAGTTGGGACAAGTAGCAATAAGTGGCTGGAAAAAGGAAATTGAGCATATAACGAACAGCTGGCAGACCAATTAACACTAATTAGGTCAATTGACAACATGATTGGGTATAAAAAGAGCTTCTCAGAGTGTCAGTGTCTCTCAGAAGCCAAGATGGTAAGAGGATCACCAATTCCACCATTGTTGTGCAGAAAGATAGTGCAGCAATACCAGAATGGTGTTACCCAGCGTAAAATAGCAAAGACTTTTAAGTTATCATCATCAACCGTGCATAACATCATCAAAAGATTCAGAGAATCTGGAACAATCACTGTGCGTAAGGGTCAAGGCCGTAAAACTCTACTGGATGCTCGTGATCTCCGGGCCCTTAAACGTCACTGCACCTCAAACAGGAATGCCACTGTCAAGGAAATAACAGAATGGGCTCAGGAATACTTCCAGAAAGCATTGTCAGTGAACACAATCCACCGTGCCATCCGCTGTTGCCAGCTGAAACTCTACAGTGCAAAGAGGAAGCCATTTCTAAGCAAGCTCCACAAGCTCAGACGTTTGCACTGGGCCAGGGTTCATTTAAAATGGAGTGTGGCAAAATGGAAGACTGTTCTGTGGTCAGATGAGTCACAATTTGAAGTTCTTTATGGAACACTGGGACGCCATGTCATCCGGACCAGAAAGGACAAGGATAGCCCAAGTTGTTATCAACGCTCCGTTCAGAAGCCTGCATCACTGATGGTATGGGGTTGCATGAGCGCTTGTGGCATGGTCAGCTTGCATGTCTGGAAAGGCGCCATTAATGCAGAGAACTATGTTCAGGTTCTAGAACAACATATGCTCCCATCTAGACGTCATCTCTTTCAGGGAAGACCCTGCATTTTTCAACACCATAATGCCAGACCACATTCTGCAGCAATCACAACATCATGGCTACGTAGGAGAAGGATCCGGGTACAGAAATGGCCAGCCTGCAGTCCAGATCTTTCACCTATAGAGAACATTTGG